CTGATATCAAGAACACGATAAGATGTGATGCAGATTCAGAATCCGCAGTAAAAGACTACAACAACACTTAGTGTTTATCATAGTTTTCTGTATCATCAGTTTTTATTTCACATGTAAAGAATAATTGTAAATATTTCAGACCATATCTTCAGTTTTTGGGCAGGGGGATTTATAAGGGCGATCGTATTACCTATGTAGGTTTGATGGACAGAAGAAATAGAGAACGTGTGAATACAAAATATGGCCAGGACTGCTTTAGCCCAATGTAACATGTTGCCAGAGACATTTTCTAATATGGACAAGAGAAAGGTTGAGTGGATTTGTACTACAGTAGGTGGGAAATAAATACACAGAGAGCTTTTTGTGTGGTACGTAGAGAATCCAAGTCATTTTGTGCAGATTATGATTCAAAATGTCTTCTTATGCACGATACTGACTTGGTTTCAAGACTGATCAGGTTTTAACATTCAAATGCTCGGAGATAAGCCTGGGTTATACTTTGCGCAAGGACGGTCACACAAACAATCAGCTGATGCAAAATACGTGACGAGGAAACGCTTGGATCTTTTATACTCCATGCGGGTCCCTCTTCGTGGCAAACCGACATTCTCAAACTCCTCAAAGTTAGTTGGTCTGTTTTCATCAAACTCGCTCTGGTGCGGATTGTTTTGGGCAGTTGTGAAGACAGCAATCGTACTTTGGTGCGGAGCTAAACAACCGTCACAGAGGGACGGTCTTGGCCCGTTTCTAAGTGAAGCCTAGCGCGGGTAGATTGCAATGAGAACATAACTGCAAGTGAACAAAAACAGAGGCATCCTGTACAGAAATGACTTAATAAAGTCAATCATTTCAGGCTTTAGTTCACAATGCTGTTCCTATTATGTAACTAAAGTTTGTTAAAGCCAACTCCGCTCTGACAGCCGTACTCTCATGTCCGTATTTGAGCGTCCGCGGCACCATTAAACACTATCGAGCTAGCAGGCCCATCACCTGTGATTGATCTTGGAGTGACAGACTTTATTTAGCCTTCGGCGGACTCGGCTCTCCTCCTCCCCGTCAGCCCCCCACTCTCTTATTTGCTCTGGACGGTTTGTTTTTTCCGTGTGCTGAGAAAGAGAAGCGATCAATGTTGTGAGTTATGAAATGACAGTGGTGCTTCTCAAGGCAGTCTCTCAAACACTGCCACAACAGACAGACACTCATTTGCCCCCTTTTCATCCACCACCACAGATACAAGACATTCATCACCCATCTCTGTTTATTAGCCCTGTAACCACGGCCGGTCCGCTCGCTCATCACTTCAGTGATAAAATCCTTCGTTTTGCTTTCATAAACAGCATTAATTGTCAGATAAGTAACTTATTACTTCATGATGAAACTTGCAAGTTTATCTCTATAAACTATAAAGCTACAATTTTCTGTTTTTTTTAACCCTTTTTCACAATTTCAACATCTGTTGCTTATTTGCACCAATATAAAATGTGAGTATTACAGATGTCAATACGTGTCTACAGCTACATACTAATGTAAGTCATCTACTGTATTGTGGTGTTAACTTTCAACCCAGACACCAGAATAAAATGATGGCGCCGTATGTTTCTTCAAACCACGCATACGTTGAATCTTGGCATTTCTGAACCCCAAATATGTTTAATATCAAAATTTTGTACATACATGTATATCAACGTTAAAGATTAAAGAGGGAGATAATTAGTAGATCATTCGAGCAACAGCACACATTCTATCAGTTGCAGCTCTATGGTTTCCCCTGCACACAGCAGAGCAGCGCCATCACTACGTGTGAAAATGTCATCAAACGTGATAAGATCGTGGATCGTTATGCTGCCTGTAAAAATGAGTGCTATGATATTTTTACCATCCCACCCAACAAACTCTCCTTTTGTTCAACAGTTATTTTCCGTTTTTGAAATGATCCACTACATTTGTTCACAGTCTCTCTGGAAGCAATACCTTTTCAAAGTCTCAAACATTTGTCACTGAATTCCTTCCACTCGATACAGACTACTTTCCAGGCCAGAGAACAACATTTTCAATCACAACACGTGATGACAGATGAATCTAGTTTTTGCTTTTTTTAAGGACTGATGCTTTTCTTTGCCACAGTAAGCCCAAGGCTCTCTCTCGTGATCCACAGGGCATGGGTTTGTAGACCAATTCATTTTACAGATTTCAGATTAATTACATTGTTCAGTGACAACAAACAAAGTGTTATAATACATTTTCTACCTCGACTAACTACAGTGGGGCTGTGTGAAATGTTCTCAGTCTTCAGTTCTGGTTTCCAATTGAGTTTTTCCCCCTCATACCTTTTAGTTTTATGTCGCCAATCCAATATTCCTTCAAACCAGAGGAAGGAATACAAAGCCAGCAACTTCTCTGCACAGAAGAAATGCTGGATGCTAATCTATTCTTAGTTACAGAATTCCCTCGTGTGCATCCCTGCCATTGCTTTGACCCAATTTGGCCATTCTCTGTAGGAGGCCTTAGCAAGCCTCCAATCAGTGCGTGTGTGTAATTTGAGCAGGGTCTGATTAGATCAGCCGCATGCATTAAAGCCATGTCAGACCATGGTATTAGACCCTGATCAAAGTCAAAAAGATACAGCACCTTGATGTGGGTCTTCCTCCATTATTTGCCGTATTTACAGTTGAAACAGGATCTTTGGGTTTATTACAGGGAGGAACTCAACGTCACTTTAAAGTCCTGCAGATTTCAGTTCTGGTTGATTGGGCGACACCCGTAGTTACAGTGGTAATGGCAAGTGCTGTTGAATACTCCAAGTCCTAAAGATTTGTGGGCAACAAACACTAATTGAGAAGTTTTTTTGTCAGAAAAACAGAAGAGCAACTGTTGTATCTATTTACAGAGCAGCCAAACAAACAGGAAAAGATACTCGATGATTGGACTTGTTTGATTGAATGTCATGCTGCAGCTCCTTCTCGTTCTATTACTCCCTGTAATATTAAACTGTCAAAGTAATTACTGAAAAGGACGTTCTTCTTTTGGTTGCACACTTTTAGATGTGTAAACCTCAGTAACACTTTTGCATTTCCTGTGATTGCTTCACAATAAAAGCCAGTTGAAGCTTGCATTCGCAGTAACTTAACACTGCTCTGACACGGCTGTGAGAGAACTACCAGCAAACAGTAATGCTGGATTATATGCATACTGTTTAGAGAGAAACATAAAAAAGGTTTATCTGGTAATTAACATGAGGTCAAATTATATTTTTGTAAAACACATTGGAAATCAGATTTAGTAATAAAAGGTTATTTTAGAGAGTCAGTGGGTACTGAGAGCTCAATCTTGCATCCCCACGTGGGAAATTCCCATCCAACACTAGCTGTATGTTGAGAAAATTAATATTTTATAATTAATTATTAATTTAAAAAAATATAAAAATTCAATGATGTTTATGTGTGATGAAGTGAATTGTGACAAGTGATTTATATGACAATAAAAAACAAGGCATGTGAAGCAAAAAACAAAAAAAAGAATATTCCCGCGGTAATCAGACACTTAAATTTAATACAGCCTGAAGCCATTTACTCTGGCCAGAGAGTCTACTCCTGTGACACCTGTCATTTCTCCATTTTATACAGGCAGATTGGACGGCAGCTTTGGAAGTTCTGGCCACTCTGAGAAATGTCTGCCATCGCCGCCATGATGAGAAGTGACTGGAGGATTCTTAGATTTATTAGCGCTCTGTGAGCCGGTGTCATCAGAGATTACGCCCCCTATCCTTCACCGTTCCACCGACACGTCAACCACCCAATTTCAATTTCCCCGGTGAGAGGATGGGAAGGCTCTGGCTGGCGACCCCTGCTCGTGACCCTGGGTTTCAAGATGGATGGGGGAGGTGGAGGGGGGACAGATACGGGATGCTCATGAATTAGGTATGACTTCAGCGGTGCGTTCAACTTTGGCCGTCCCGCCTGTATCGCCACAGAGAATCTCCCTGATAAATGGGCATCAAGGGGAAGGAAGACTGCTCTTCCTGGTTAGGTATTCAGAGGAGCTCATGGTCGAGTTTAGCCCCGTTTAAGGCATGTTTAAAAATCATGCATTACAGCTGCTGGCACCTTGGGATTCTGCGCGCTCATTGGCTGGTAGCGGACCAATCTGACATTTTGCTGAGCGTTTACATTTTGGGTAAATGCATGAGTGTGCTCCAAGAGTTCAAAGATGGAAAATAAGCTCCCAACAAAAAGTTGTCTTTGAGTCTTTGACTTACCACAGTATAACGAACAACATGAATAATGGCTGCATTCCGTTTAGATGTTCATTGTCAGGGCTCTAGCTATGCATGCCGACATGAACCACTGAGAAACGAGCCATCGTTAGCGTTATTACCAACACCTGAGCTGCTCCTGCGACAAGTAAACTGTCTCCTGTGAATTTCGATGTATTCGACTTTGAGAATGTATGGTGACGATGGCCAGGCTTTAGTCATTATTATAAACTTTCCACTATGAACATCTTAATTCACGCACACCTCCTCTTCCGACCATTCATCCACCTGCGTCGTTTTAGGTCTGCCCACTTCAACCGTGTCATAAAAAAGCCACAAGTTTTTAACGACAGGGAGGAGTTTGAGTCTGACCTGAGCTGTCCACACCACTCATGCTAGAAATACGTTTATTCGAGCGACCGTACGAGGTCTCGGAAAACCAAACGCATACATGGAGCTGGTTGAACCCACATGTTCGTGCACAGGAGATTCTGTGTATTCAATCATCTTTGATCAAAACAACAGAAGATTTCAAGTTGATGATCTTCTGACCGAACTGTTGTTTTCCTTTCACACAGGATGGATTTTGGTGGAGAGTCACTCACGTTTACCGATTCACATCCTCAGCTATCAATCTGAATAAACATATTGTTGAGTGGGACTTGAACTTATTTCATGAGGCTTTGTGAGTGCATTCCCACGATCAAACTGCCACAGTATGTACATGTGTGCGTAAACGTGCACTGACCATCCATTCTGAGATGATGATGTCAACCTTCTCCACTGGGAGCTTGATGTCTTCTATGCGGCCTTTGATCACAGTGATCTTGTCCTCCAGCTGGTTGAACCTGTGGGAAACATGTAAGAGTCAGAGGACCCAGAAAAATGACTCATCAAGTTTATACCTAGCATCCAGTAAACCAATGGTTGGAGAGTGGGCTTGTAGTTTTGCTGCTGTGGTGCACATTCAATAATGTGGATACTGCAAACTTCTACTTATAAAACCTACATTATATTTCCAGTCTTTCCTGAGCCGTGTTGTAGAGAGTGTGAAAGGGGGGAAACTGTAACTGTGGGGCTGCAGAGGTGTCAGGCTCAGGTAGGGACTGGAAGATCAGTGCTGCTGTTTAAATGATCCTTCCTTTCAGACCGGCCAGTCTGGGTATCAATCTCTGTGAATATTCCATTATCATGACAGCTAATGTTACCGAGGACAGAACAATTACTCACAGCGGCCCAGAGTGCATTTCTGTGGCAGCGATCCTTATCTTGAACTGTCTCTCCCCTCTCTGATGCTCTGCTACTGCTGCTATCACCTCCTCACAGGATCCAACCCCCCCCCCCTCCTCCTACACCTTTCACAAGAGGGAAACACTAATCTCATTATTGGGGTAATTTAGAGGACAATGTCAGGACTCTGGGGAGAGAGTCAGTATCTGTGTGGCTTTGTAGTGGTGTTTGTGTGTGTGTGTGTGTGTGTGAGAGAAGCCCTTTTCATACAGCATGTTAAAGGCGGGAACATTGCATCGTTATTCCGCTTTGCCGTTCTGTATAAAAGGTACGAACATGGAATTTGGGGACAGAGTTGTTCCGCCGTTTAGCCGGCAGCGGAGTTAGTGAAAGAGCCGAATCGGCATCTGTGTAACAGCCAGCATGGCGGGACAACACACACACACACACACACACACACACACACACACTAGACGCAGACGTGTTACACTTCATGCAAACTAAAAATACACACTGGGGCAGAGTTATGCCGTTGTGAAGCCGGCTTAATGGCGGATCTTCTTTACGGCAGTATTGCGGAATCACTGCGTAAAAGGGGCGAGCGAGAGAGAAAGAGAGAGAGAGCGAAGGGGGGGAAGAGGTTGTACATTTTATCATAAGAAACCAGTGTTTGCGAATAATTGCTTTCTTTAGAGGGTGAATCTATCCTTCACGACATACAAATGTGTTTTTTCGTCATAATTCAGACATTTATGTTCTTGTTAAACAATTCCGAACTTCATTGAGAAGGGTTTTTGATAACAAATATATCCATATCACCAAATATGTATACACACACGCACACACACACACACACACACACACACACACACAAATATTGCTTATTTCAGGACTTGAACATTAAAGGTTCTCTAAACGTTATTCAGAGCATTAATATAACAAAAGTATAGTGGAGTAATGACATCCTGAGCAGAGAATTAAGTACCCTCCCTCTGTGAGTGTTGCAATCTGAACTTGTCCTTTAGTGCAGGTCAGTGCATGTGAGCGTGCCCCACTGGCTAGCTGATGGCCGACAGCTGACAACGCCGCATCGCCCTCTGCACAGTTAGCCGCTTGCAGCCGTTCCCACGTTGAGACTCGTGTGGAAGCAAAAGATATGCTCTGAAGTTCATATTGAGCACCTTCATGAACAAAAAAGTTAATAAAGAAAATAGGATTTAAGATTATTTTTAAATTACTTAAAAAATAACGGCTACCTAAATGAAAAAACAAGGAAATGAACTATCTAAGTTTTATTTTAATCATATTTGGGTTAATGAGAATTAGGGATAATGAGCGACACAAACTTTAATACACACTAAGTTGTCCTGAATTACATGTATTCATGGGTGCCCGTTTCTGGCTGATCAGCATTCTTTGACCAAAGTCAAATGTTGGCTGAACATCCTCAAACCGATAATCTGTCCGTCTATCTTTCCTTCACCATTGAAAGTTGAATTTCATTAATCTATGTAAAATGTTTTTCCACTTTGTTGCCACAATTCAAAGCATTCAATTGGATAATCCATCAATTCCAGCCATTTAAAAAGAAGAAGAAAAAAAACAAAACGTATTTGGACATTATCCATTAAGGAAGTGACTGTGAAGGAAGGAAGTCACGTCTAGCTTTTCATTTAAACTTCGGCGACGGAGTGGAAACAGGAGATGGATGCTCCTGCCCAACCAACAGGAGCCACTTTAATTACAATCCTGATATTAACATCAAGAGGAAGTGGCGGACACACAAAGGCCATCTGCACACGTACAGACACACACAGAAGTAAGAGCTTAAGAATCACAACCCAAGCGGACAGTGGCTTTAAAGGGAGCCAAGGGCAAGATGTGTGTGTTTGAATGTGTGAGTGTGTAGGAGGGGAGGGGGGGGGGGGGGGGGGACACATCTTCTTTTAGCTCAAACTTCACCGCTGGCGAACCTGCGACGCAGCCAGCATGCCAACACACTCTCCGACAGCGAGTCAGTGGGCTGTAAAATTAAAACGTCCCTTTCCTTCAGCAAACCCCGTTGTTTTGCTTATACGACACTCTCTTACATAACGGTAATAATAGCAGTCATAATGGCCCCTAACTCAAAAATGCATTTTAGAGGCAGGGGTGTGATGGAGGAAGTGGTTGCAGGTAGACGTAGGGACGGTGGAGGCTCTGGTGGAGGTAAATGACTCTACTGTGGAGAGGCAGCTGCTGGAAGCCTGGAAACACACACCACCTGAAATTGGACTGAGAACTGTATTAAAAGGTACCAACAGGGGGTCATCTACATGTGTGTGTGTGTGTGTGTGTGTGTGTGTAACTGCAGGCCTCAGACTGAAGCCCCTGCAGAGAAGAAGAGATGAGTGGTGAATGAGTCCGACCGCAGGTGTAAATTATCTGCATTATGGCCACACGACTGACAGCAGCTCTATTGAAGTCAACCAGTTGCAACAAATAAAAAGGTGGCTGGAGGTCACACAGACCTCTACTCCCACAATCCTCTGCTGCACACAAAGGGAAAAAGGACCCGTCTGCTCCGTGGTTGCGTAAAGAGAACTTGATACAGCGGCGGTGGAGGCGCCCCATTCATTCCTATGAAAGCTGCTCAGTGGAGAATGACACCTCATTCACATGAACGGAGGAAGGAACGTAATTCTGGGTTTTAAATAAGTGATATTCAAGTGTTCATACCGGGAAGTTGATTTACCTTAAAACACAAATCTGCCGAATTACCGACGTCTCTTTCCCAACTCTTGAAGGACCGCTATGACGTGCAGGGCGAGGGTCACGTCTGACCGAGCTAGCACTACAGCTAGTGAGCTAATCTGCCAGCATGTTAGCTGCTGACTGAAAGACAAGTTCCTGTTGAGTTTTTTATTGTTGTAAGCAACATACATGAGATTCCGTTAACCTCCAATGTATTTGGGTGGAGGCAAAGTTTTTAAAAAATAAAAAAAAGTGACTGACCGTAGTGTGTGTGTGTCTCACCTGACTATGTCCATGGCCTGATAGATGATTGCCGATTGGTCGACTGCTATCACCTGCTTGGCCCCAGCTCTGGCAGCGAACATGGACAGTATGCCAGTCCCACAGCCCACATCGAGCACCACCTGCAGGATGGGAGAGGGTGGGGGAGAGGGGCAGAATATGAACACTGGGGGGAAAAAAAGAGCGCGACAAGAACACTCAAATTGATTTGAAAATTCAGGCAACTTCGTTAGGATGAAATGGAACTGTTGGCTTTGAACGTTGAGGAGCCGCAACACTTGCTATGCATAAGAAAAACGTGTTAATACAGTATACTGTGTATGCTTTATAAATCTATCAAAGCATTTCAGCCAAGAGCTTAAATCAGTTCCGAGGAGCTACGTTTAAACATTTTTCTTGCATTGGAAAACCAAAATATGTAGAAATAACGAACAAACGAACAAGCAGCAACTGTCAGGGAGGCTGACAAAATGAACTTCAACATCCAAGTCACCTCTAGCTGCTTTGACTTCCACGTTTGTACCAAGTCATCAAAATGAACAGCCTGTATGTTTGGCATGCTTGTCTTCAGCACCTTAACTGCTCCCCAAAGTATCTTTTTTTCCCCTCATCAAGCCATTGTTGTTGAGTCACTTCTATTTCAGGTTAGGCTACAGTTAATTTGTTCATCTTCGCCCCCGACTGGTGTTAAACGGCCGAGGCACAGCTGCAATGACTATATGGCCTCTATATGTATCGCGGTGTTAATGTGCGTCTCTATTTAAGGCCACTTTAACCTGCCTGCAAGCATCCCGCTGCCTTTATGGGTTCACAGAGGGTCGCCGACACGCTGCTGACACAACTCCTCTCTTTCCTCCATCTTCCTGTACTCTGTGTAGCCTCTCTTTAACCGTACTCAAACATCCTGGCTTGTTCTCCGTCTAGCACTTCCTGTTAGAAGGTGACACTTCCCTCTCTGCCGAATGCGTCGCTGTGACAGGGATAATGTACGTTCCCATCAACAAAACCTGCCTCCCCACTCTACAGCCTCATCCCATCTAACCAGCAGCCACCCACATAATGGATGGTCATGATACAGGCTGCTGCTTTCTGCAGGGGAATGAGTGGGGGCCAGTTGGGGGGGGGTTTTGGGGGGGGGGGGGGGGGGGTTGTTCTGGGTTTGGTGGTGGATTGCATGCGTGTGTTATCAGCACTCTGCAGTCGACATTCAAGGCACTAATAAAGTCACACTGTGTTTTAAATCAGACACCGTCCCCTTATTAATGTCTTTCCTGCAAAGCGCACACGCCTTTTCTCTGTTAATAAGCTTGGCTGTACATTAAACCGCCGGGCTACCCTGCAAAAACTGTACACACACACACACACACACACATTAATACACATATCTGTTTGCATTTGGCTCACCTTGTCTCTGAACACTTCGGGGTTGCGGTACATGAAGTCGCGGTAACTCTCCGTGCGCACTTTATCCTGCAGAGAGAATCAGGGATCAATGTCAGCAATTTTTTATCTTGCCCCTATAAAATCTGTATTATTTATTAGCAGTTATGAAATAACAACAAAGACAAGAAGAAGAAGTTCATTCTCATTTTTTAAATCATAAATAAAACTGGAGTTTTGCCCACATTCTCTAATGCCACCCAACTAAACTCCTGTTTCCAGGACAATTGAAATGCTCGCTTGTGCTTCAGCTCGTGAACTTTATCTTTAGCCGCCGCTGTCACATGTCCGATTGGTACTGCACATGTGCAGAGCCTCAACAGAGCTAACGGGGAAGCGAGCAGGCTCACTATGTAGCCACTTCCATCATCAGCCCTGGAAAAAGTGTTAAATTATTTTTTTTATAACTTGCGAGCAGACATTCATTATTGTTGAGCGCTGAGAATATTCAAAACTTAGGAACAATACACACGGACAGTAAAATAATTGAAAGACAGAATAAAACATGTTAACGTGTTTGACGAAAATACACAATTTACTGCAGGGTTTCTAAAGGTTAAGGGAATGTCGCCTTTTAAAGATGATTTGCATTCTTGGAGTTCTACGACTTTTACGTTGTTATGCCTTATCAGCCACCTTGGGGGGGAAAAAAACTCAGAGCATGTAAAGCTTTTGCTTCACAGATAACAGCTGATCAAAACAGACGGTGGGGGATTCTTGGAATGGGATAAATACAACCGGGAGGGACCCTAGCATTTGTAGTGGTCAGGTCAGGACTCGCTAATTAACCTGCCAATCAAATCTGCCCACAAACACTCAGCGTGACAGTAACATGGCTGAGTGCAGGACACCGTGGAACTGAGGAGGTTCTTATTCAATACTGAGCTCTTGGAGGATATTTACATAAAAGGAAGTTTTCAATTAGTAACTCCTCAGTAAAGTTACTCTGATAACCACAGACTCATTCACGGTTCATTGTACTTTGCTGGACCAGTGAAATAAATGCTAATAAGTTATGCTACATCACAATATAGCAGATGAGGAGCTTTTCAATGGATTTCTCCAAAGAACAAAGACTTTGGATTTTACATTAGTGTTGTAGTGATCGCGTGAGGGAGGAAATATTATAGCAACCAATTCACTCTGTTATTGTACATATTGTATATATGGGTATTGTTTTTAAGATAAACAAAAAATGTAAAATCTGAACCTGTTTTCTAAGACAATGTTTTGTGAAATGAAGGCTATAATTCAAATACGAAGTTTGGTATCAAGACAATTCATTGTTCAGCCTTAATTTCGACTACGAGGGGACACCAAAAGTCTTCACTTAAACTAAAAGTTAGCACAAAAGCAAGCAAAACGAGGTCGGTTTACGATGGAACAATTCTGACGTCTTCGTCCCACTGATTGGCCAGTATCCAGTTGTTTTTTTATTAAAGCAGGAACAAATTTAAAGTGGATTCATGACGTCCTTTCATACGGTCTCTAAAACACACGTCATAGATGATGCACTTCACGGCGACCTGTGAAAGAGTTGAAAACACTTTCTACCGCAAAGCCCCCCCCACCTCACGTGTTCGTTCCCCCTCCTGAGGCTCTGATGCGAGTTTAGAGCCTGACGCAGGAACAAATGACGCAAAACTTTACAGTGCCTGGCACCAATCAGGACAGCCAACAGGGATATGTCTAAGCACTGCGGTAAGTAGAACAGGAAAGGAGGAGACAGAGCTGACCCCCCCC